CCGGTTTCGGTAAGTTAAAGATTCGGGGTTTGGGATCGCGGATTCGCTTGTCGTTTTGGGAGTACAAGCTGCCTTGGACCGCACACGCTGCCATAGTGCCATGGGGAATTTAGCAATTGTACTAGGGTTTCGGGGACAGCCTTGGCAGGAGTATATAGGGCCCTAAAACCCACAGCTGCAAACCCTACACTAGCGATCCTACGGCAATACAACTGCTAATTAGTCCAACCCGCACATAACTTCGAATCCGTAACGGCCTTAACGCAATGCTGTCAAGATTGACCCTCGCCAGCCCAAGGAAGCAGTAGAACGCGTTGTCGTGACTCCTCGTCGCGTATAGGAGCCTCTATATTCCGCCGTATGATTCCCTGATGGTCCCTATGCCTATAAGACCATACACAACATACTCCAACGACATCCGACTGAAAACGCTTACTTGCGTAGACCCTCCATCTACACTCTCTAGCCCCCCTTAGACCCTACACCCTTATTTGAGGGTACACGGAGGGTCCTCGTACAGTTAACTGGGCTTTGGAGTACCATACTTTAATACTTTTTTGGGGGACCTGTTCCTTAAAGGAACCATTATGAATTGAAGTCTATACTTTTTTCCCCCTGGTTACTTCAAAGCCCAGTTAAGCCCAGAAAGATGGTGGGCTCAGCCCCAAGGCCAAGACCATGGCAGCCTCTGCATGTGCTGCAGGCTCCGCGGTTTAGGGTTTAGGGTTTAGGGTTTAGGGGTTTAGGGGTTTAGGGTTCGGGTTTAGGGTTTTAGGGTTTTAGGGTTTAGGGTCTTGCTCTAGGTTCCCCAGTGGCACCCTTTTTGCCATGTTCTTTTCGGGTTCACATGTTAAAACCCAAATAGTAGGAGAAAGGGTACCCCGAATTATTCAGGGGCGAAGTAGCCTTTAACCTGCTTGGGGGGTGGGGTGCTGCTTACTTTGCCCTAAACCCTGAACCCCAATCAATACCTTTAGTTCCATGAGGATAGGGCTGGGTCGGCGACCTGATCGGGTTCTGTGTGTCGGGTGTATGCAAGCGCTGAAGGAGTTTCGGGTTTCGGGGTTTAGGGTTTAGGGGTGTAGGGTTTAGGAGTTTCGGTGTTTGGTGGTTTCGGGTTTAGGGTTTCGGGTTAGGTTTTAGAGTTTAGGGGTTTAGGGGTTTCGGGTATAGGGGACTTGCAAGGATTTTAGGCTTCAGCATAAGGGCGTCGTGTATAATGGAATCCTAAAGAAGGCCAAACCCGCAACCCTGGACCCTTAAACCCTTAAACCCTGAACACTGGAGGGCGTTAGACTTGGGCAGTACGACTGGAGCCTATGTAGATCCCAAACATCCCAAACATCCCAAACCCTAAACCCTAAACCCTAATCCCTCAGCCTCTGGGACCCTACAAGTTCCGCGGAGACCGGTGACACCACTCGACGAATGCCGAAGCCGTCGCCCCCGTAGCCCTATGCCGTGTTTTCTATACACTTCGCAATAAACACTAAATCCTGCGTTTAGGATTTCGGGTGTAGGGCCCCCCCAAAAAATTGGTAAAAGGCTGGTTCTGGGGGCGGGGTCTGGGACTGTATCACGGCGGGTTCTGGGTCTTGTATCATACCATATTCCGCCCCTTATTCACTCTCTCACATCTCACCCTTCTTCATTCCTATCATCAGCGCCACCTTATTCGTTTTCATTGTTTTCACCCCTTCATTCATTTCGTCCTTTACCTCATCATCATCATCGCCACCTCATCCGTTTCTCACCACCATTTTTATTTAAGTAGTTTCTCACCCTTTTTTATCATCATCATAAACCTCCCCCTCTTTCGTTCTAAAATT